ATTGTACAAAAGTAAGTGGAAATAATTATCGATATATAAGATAGTATTTAAATTAAGCAGATACTTTTCAGAGCTGCGCCTGCCTGCCAACATCTCCCTCCAGGCTTGGTCCAGTGCCTGGTATTTTTATGGGGACATCTGGCAAATCTACCCATTAGCAATAGCTCAGGCCCTCATCACTTGTTAATCAAATTAACTAAAATAGTCTCCACTTGGTCTTCCTGCCTAGTTCTGGCTCCTCTCCAATTCATTTTCCACAACCCCTCAGAGGGATTTTTCTAAAATATAAAATATCTGACAATGTCATTCCCTCTGTTAAAATCATTCAATGGCTTTATAAAGCATCTGGAGTAAGATTCAGACTCCTTAGCATAAAGGCTTGGCATTATATGGGTAATGCTAACTTCTAACCTGGTCTTGCCCACTCCCCTAATGCATACTCCCTTTATTCCAATTACACTGAAATTCACTAAAGAACTTCTTTTTTGTCTCTGTGCCTCACACAGACTGTAACTTCTATCATCCACCCCAACTCAGATTGTACCCTCTGCTCATCCATCCATTCATTCAACCATTCATCTATCCACCCACCTGCTCACCCACCCACCCACACTCTTAATAAGTTTTTATCTAGTGAGCAGACTCCAGATAGGTTGCCATGTAAATCTGACAAGGTTTGCTGATAGCTTAAACATTAGGAATAAGAGTGAGAGAGAAGTTGGGGGTCTGACCAAGTCATTTTCCTGACTCCCTGGAAGAATGGACTTGCCATTTATAGGAACATCGTAAGTTCGTTTTGGACATAGTAAATTTGAAAATTCTATTAATTTTATTGGAATATCAAGTAGGCATTTGGATTACAATTTTGATGTTAGGAGAAAAGTTAGACTTAGATATATAAATTTGTTAGGTAAGCCTTTATACTCATGAGTCCATCTGCAAGGTGACCGCAGATAGAAAGGAGAAGAATTTGGACTGCATCAAATCAAAATGTTATGTACCTTAAATTTTACAGTATTACTTTTATCTTCAGGGGATTCAGAGAGTGCTTGCAGTTGAAAATAACTCTGAGCCTTATATACCCTATGTTTTTACTATACATATACACCTATGGTAAAGCTTGACATATAAAAGAGATTAACAGCAATAGCCAACAATAGCACAATTACACAAAATAGTATAATAAAATTTATGTGATGTCTCTGTCTCAAATATTTTATTGTACATAGTAATTTTGGATGGTAATTGGTCTCAAGTAACTGAAACCATGGACATCAAAACCACATGTGGGGAGGGGAATCTATGGTATGTTGGTTATATCACAGTAAAACAATTCGATGTGAAAAAAAGAACTCAGAGGATTGAGCCCTGGGGGATTCTAACAGTTAAAAGTTGGAAATAGAAGGAACCAGCAAAGTTGATGGAGAAACAGCAGCAATGACGTGAAAGGAAAAGCAAAGAAAGTAATGTTCTGGATGTCATGGGAAGAAATTCTTACTAGAGGAACAGTGTTTTAAGGAGGAAGTGGCTGGTTGTGTCACATGCTGTTGAAATATCATATAAGAGGAGACCGAAAACATACCTTTGGATTTGACAAGACAAAGTTCTGTCATTTGTGATCTGTGATCTCTATAAGAGCAGTTTAGATGGCATGAAGGTGATGAGGTACTGATTAGAGAGTTCAATATGATCAGAAGGTGAAGACATGAAGATAGAGTATAAAACATTCTTTGGGAAGAGGGTTGGAGAAATATGGTGTAGTTGATGATCCTATTGTCATCTTGATTAATCTGGGCATCCTGTTTGGTTAGCATTGGCCAAAAGAGAAACTTGCCCAGGTTTTGAGAGGTGGAAGCGGAGCATCCATTATTAGTAAAGGGATGACAAGGTGAGATACAGAAGTCGAGGTGGTGGAGAGAAACCCACTTGTCTTCAGCCGCTTCTCTACTCCCTGGCCAGATCTGCTTCCAGATCATTGACACTGCTGGTCATCAGAGCACATGGAACCACCACTAGACACCCAGTTGCAGACCACAGATTTGGTAATTGCGCAGAAGCTGTGTTTTCCCATCAACCTCTTCATGTTTTGCCTCTTCTCAGTCTCCTTTGTGTGGCTGGATATCTCTAGCTTCTTAGATCCCCATGCAAGTCCTAAATTGTTTATTCACAGGTGCTCCAGGAAGTTGACTAATGCTTTTTCTTGAGGTCAACAACTCCCTCTTCTGAACTTGACTTCGCCAGCTCCTCCTCCAAAAGTGTGACATCTAATTCCTGTAACACCCACATCACTCACAGTTCCAACTGACTCACAGTCAGTCTGGGCTGAGCCCTGACTGACACATGAAGATTAATAACTTGAGGGAGGATGTGAGGTCAAGAGAGTATTGTTTATTCACCAGACACAGAGTGGGGAGCAGAACAGGCAGATTGACTGAAGTACGAAGTACGAAGTACGTTGCTGAGGGGAGCAGCGGTGGTGGTGGGGGGTGGGGGGTGTCAGGAGAGGTCTGCCGCCCCATGTGGTCACCTCCAGGGCAGGTGGGGATCAAACTCATGTGGAAGTGGCTTTAGCTTCTTAGTGCTGTGCTTTAACCTGCTGCGCCACCAGGGAGGGACCAAAATACATTTTTGTCGCTTGCAACCCAGAATCCAAACTTATAGGAATCAGGGATTTCAGTCAGCTTCTCTCTGCATACTATTGATATTATTTTTACATTCTACATGTTAAGGGCATGGGACGTTTGGGAGTTTTAAGATAATTTTTAGGACTCCCCATGACTAGAGAGTAATGAAAGCCTCCAATGGAATTCAGTTATACTGGTATCCAATATTAACTTAAACATGCCTTCAGTAATGGTTATTTATTTGCAAATAGAATTGCAGTTTAAATTCCTCAAATGCATGTCATCTTGTATATATGTTACATTTGTTTTTACTCCCAAGCCTAGAGCTGACCAGAAGTGTTCAGATGTGCAGAGCCCAGGGAATCACAGAGAGTGACGTCAGAGCCCTGAAGATACTGTGACGCTCTGGTAGTGGGACTAATGTCCATGTGCAGCTGTAGCCAATTATCTCTCTTGCTTAAGCAGTTTGGGCTGGACTTTTTATTACTTGCAGGATAAAAGTTCTCTTTGGTCCACATGTTAAAATTTCACTACTGAAATGTGAAATGAAGAAAGCATGATGAAAATGACATGTAAAATTTGGTGTTTGTTATCTTAAAATGTCAGCTTCTTGGGAGAGAAACTGGAAGGGATACACCAAGTGTTGACTGCAGCTACAGGCTGATGGTAACAGATTTCTAAACCTGTGTCCTTTATTATAGTTTCCTTTTTTTAAAAAAAAAATTTAAATTAAATTAAATTTATTTTTTGTGTCAAAATGGGGGTAGCTCAGAGGTTTTGAGGGGTGAGAGAATGCACCAGAGACAGAGCTGGGGAGCAGATCAGGCAGATTTACTGAGATACACTGCTGAAGGGAGTGAAATACACTGCTCAGTGGGCGAGACAGGAGAGCTGCTGCGCCATGTGGGTCAGCTCCCTGGCTGGGGATCGAACTCAGACCATCATGGCCACCTGGGAGGCCCCATTATAGTTTTCTACAAAACTATAACTATTTTTGGCCCTCCTTGGTGGTGCAATAATTTAGCACATAGCAATGCAAGTTGGCCGCAGCCACTTCAGTGCAAGTTTGATCCCCAAGGTGGATCCCCGAGGTGATCCACATGCTGCGGCAGACCTCTCCTGATCCACTCGCTGCTCCCCTTAGCAGTGTACTTTGCTGATCTGCCTACTCTGCTCCCCCACTCTGTCTCTGGTGAATCCACTCACTGCCCCTGCGCCTCTGGCCTGTATCCCATTTCTGTATGCATAAATAAATAAAACTTTTTAAAAATGCTTTAAAAAAAAGTGGTTACTTTCATACTCACTGGTTTCAAGGTCTGTTTCTTGGAAGCATAGCCTGAGGCCAGGATTCCAGGCACAGGACAAGCAGAGGGAGAGCCCTGGAGGAGAAACCTGTACAGCCCAAGTACCCTTGGTCTGAATTGGGGTTGTATCCTGGAGTGCAAATGGAGCCACAGAGGTACCCCAAAACAGAAGCTGATCTTTGGTATGCCTAGGTCATGAGACAGTCATTGCCTACCCCTGTCGGTGGCTGTCAGGAGCAATTCTCCAGAGAAGGGAGGTAGAATGATAAGCTGATAAGCCATCTCCACCTGCAGGGCTGCTAACGGGTATCTGAGTGAGACTATACCATCATTTATAAAGTTATTTTTTAAAAAAGAAAGAAAAAGCAACATGCAGACTGATAGAAAGAGGCTGACTTTTTTCACCCCTGACTTCTGCTTTCTAAGCATGATGCTCCATCACATTTGAAATTATTAGCAAAGGTAGAGGTCTTGACTCTAGAGAGAAAATAGGACTGACTTACTGAGTTGCAAGGTATACTATTTCTAAACTCTTTATTAAAATAACTATGGAGGAAAACTGTTTTCTTCCTATTCCCTTTTAAATCCAGAGCGCTGAGTAAAATGAAAGCAGAAGTTTTCTAAATGTAAACCTTATCTGGCATCCCTGCAGGCTGAGGATTTCACTCCTGCTAATGCCACCCCTGGCTTGTGTGATGCCAGGCACTGGCTGCTTGCCCCGCCCTCTCTTCTAAGAGGTTGACAGGCTATCTTGGACTGGCCCACTTGTGGCTACACACAAGAAGAGAAGAACATGGGTTGGGAGAAGTGTCTGGGCATTCCAAGTCCCGTAGTCCACTCTCTCAGGGATTCTTCTCCATGGAATCTTCCCATAGCACTTGAGGCTGGCCACCATGGAGACTGAAATTGTGGGGTTCTGTTGCTGTGGTGTCCAGAGCCTCTGCACTAGAGCAGCCAACCTTCTGGAAAGAGGCAAGCCCTTGTGGCCCAGGCTCCGAGGAAGGCTTCAGGCTAGAAGCAAGGAAGAGCAGAGAACTGAAGTCGGAGTCTTGGCTCCGCTTTCATCTCAGTGATGCCGACCCTTTCAGTGTTCATGGATGTGCCTCTAGCTCGGAAGCTAGAAGGCAGCTTGCTAAAGATCTACAAACAGGACAATCACACTCATAAGACCTTCTTGGCTTATAAAGGTAAATGCCTAGTGATTTAGGAGTGTGAGACTTGTCTCTTAACTACCTCAAGGAGGCAGATTTCCACTGTTCTAGAAAACTGGGAGACAGCCCAAGCCTCCGCCAGAGAAGTCAGTTGTCGTGAACAGAGTTGCCCAGTGGGGAGAAGTGCAAGGGCATTTTGGGTCATCGGCTCCTTTCTAGGGGCTGCTAGAGGTTGGTAAGAGCTAGGTTCTCCTCCCCAGCAACATGCTTCAGCACCTGCATGGACTCTGTACACACTTTCTTCCTCCCACTGCAACCAGCCTGCCACTGAAGTTCTGTGTCATCTTTGCTTATGTGCCTGTAACACTCCCACATATATCTTTTTCCTTTAAAATGCATAGGTTTGCATTTGTTTTCTCTAAAGGCATAAAAATCATATACAGTCACATTGTGTTTACCAAGAGGGGCAAAAGGGAAGTTGTTCTTTTCATGGGTGACTTTCTGAAGCCCAGGAAAGCCGGGACACCCTGTCTGTGGGCTGTCTGCAGAGCCCAGACAGGGCCTCTTTGCTCCCTCCCTCATAGTCTGCCTGAACAGTGAAGGTGAGCCCTGGACCTCTTCCGTGGTGCCCAAGATCCGACTGCAGATCTCACGGGATCCCTCCCTGGACTATGAGTACATGCCCGAGATGGGCATGAAATCCTTCATCCAGTCCTCCTTGGAGCTCCTCTTTGGAAAGCACAACCAAGCCATTATGGAGAACAGGGTGAGAGCTACCCCCCACCCCTGCCCCCCTCAACACAACTGATAATGAAGGCAAAAAGGAATGAATAAATATTCCACCCTTTATTTCTTATGTATATGGACACTTTGTTATTTAGCGAACTTAATGACAAGCGAAGATTAGAATTAATTGCCAATTTAAAGAATTACAGTAATTTCATTAAACCCAGATACAACTTTTTATTTATTTATTTATTGAAGATTTATTTATTTATTCATACAGAACTGGGGTACAGGCCAGAGATGCGGAGGGTGAGAGGATTCGCCAGAGATAGAACGGGGAGCAGAACAGGCAGATCCACGAAGTACACTGCTGAGGGGAGCAGCGGGCAGGTCAGGAGAGGTCTGCCACACCATGTGCTCACCTCCGGGGCAGGTGGGGATCAAACTCATATGGAAGTCGCTTTAGCTTCTTAGTGCAGTGCTTTAACCTGCTGCGCCACCAGGGAAGGCCCCACAACTTTTTATTTTTGTGAAATCAACAGCACTCCTTCTTACCATTCGGAAAAATAGCACCTCTCTCCAAGTATTAAACATTTTTAAAAAGATTTATTTATTTGTGCACACAGAACTGGGGTATAGACCAGAGTTGCAGAGGCAGTGAGAGATTCATCAGAGACAGAGTGGGGAGCAGAACAGGCAGATCGATAAAGTACTCTGCTGAGGGGAGCAGCAGACTGTCAGGAGAGGTCTGCCAAGCCACGTGGGCCACCTCCCTGGCCATAGAACTCATGCCAAATAGGCTGCTGGTAGCTTCGCAATGCTGTGCTTTAATCTGTTACACCACCAGGGAGGGCTCTAAACTTTTTGTTTTTATCTTGTATATTAAAATAATAGTTTCTTTATGGGGGGGGAGCAGTCATACAAAATGAAACATAAGCCCTCCCTCCCTTCCTCACTGAGAGGCAAGAGCTTCACAGTCTGAAATCCAAGACCTTGGGGGGCACCTCCAAGATCAGAGCCTAACAATCTAGCAACTGAAGGGCAGAGCCAGGATCAGCACCCAAAGCCAGTGATATTTTCTCTAGCCCATACTGCTCATTTGCAAGCTCTTTCCAGAAAGGAATGACCTGAATCTGATTTGGTGTTAGTGACCCATTCCTCTTTCTAAAGGGTTAATTCTGTGTATTTTTTCCTCCTAGGTAGGGGGTTTGCACACTGTTGGTGAGGCTGGTGCCTTCCAACTTGGTGCCCAGTTCCTCAAAACGTGGTGTCAGGATTCTCAAACAGTTTACATCATTTCTTCTCAAAAAGGTGAGTGTCATGAAAGGTGAGGGTGACAGAAGTTCCCCGCCCCCTATTATTGATTTCCACCCCATTTGCAATCTTCACTGTTGACTTCACTCTCTGTCATAAGGAAAATGGTGGACTAGCCAAGGTATGCACCCCCTTTTCCTGTTACAGTCCCGTTGCCCATCCAGCGACCCTCATTCAGTGACCCTTCTCTAGTATGTGTCTCCAGCACTCCATGTCCTGTGTACCAGCTGATGGCAGACTCTGTCCCCACAGAACATCATGGACTCATCTTCCAGGACCTGGGCTTTAGAGTTTATGAGCACTCCTTTTGGAATTCCAAACAGCTGTGTGTGGACCCAGACATGCTCCTAGATGTGGTAGAGGTACAGACAGAGCCCCGCTTAGAAACTTCTCCCCGGACCTGCTTCATAGTTTTCTTTCCCTTTCCTCCCCACTACCCACCTGCCATCCAAGGCGTGTTCTAGATGTGAGATCGCCTAGGTCTTTAGTAAGAACTAACAAAGAGGATCACTTCACCAAGTGCCCTGGTGCCACTGGCACTTGGTAGGGGAAGTTCCTGATGAAAGTCTCCACCTGCAGCAGGCCCCTCATGGCAGCATCTTTGTGCTTGGGAACATTGGCAACTGCAAGCTGACACAAAATCAGTGGGTAAATTTGTTGTCTACCATGAAGGTGAGCCCAGCCTCCTCCCTGACTATACTTTTTCTCACTCTCTTCCATCTCCTCCCTCAGTCTCATCCTTTTTCATTCTCCTTTCTCTTATAGATCAAGCAGATATTCCCATTTTTTGACATTCCCTGTCAAGGTTTCCTAACTGGTGATGTGGAAGACGATACTAGGTTCTTACAATACTTTGTGTGTCACGGCTTTGAATTCTTCTGCAGTCAATTCCTGTCCAAGAGTTTTGGCATTTATGGTATGGTGTGGGCAGAAGGAGAAGGGAGGGCCTATGATGAAGTGGTGCACTGCCAGTATTTTTGGCATCGCCCACCCTCTGGAGAGCACCAGGAGCAGAAGAGATTAACAATGAGCTAGCAGTCAGATTTTGTGATATCGTCTCAGCCCTATTATTGAACTAGTTCAATCATTTCACTCCTTTAGAACTCTGTTGGCTCAACTGTAAAACAAGGGGGATTATACTTAGCCTTTTTTTTAAAGGTTTTTTTCTTTTATTCCTTTTTTAAAGATTTATTTATTTATTCATACAGAACTGGGGTACAAGCCAGAGGTGCAGGGGCAGTGAGAGGATTCACCAGAGACAAAGTGGGGAGCAGAACAGACTGATCAATAAAGTACACTGCTGAGGGGAGCAGCGGGCGGGTCAGGAGAGGTCTGCCTTGCCTTGTGGGTCACCTCCGGGGCCAGGGATCAAACTTGCACTGAAGCAGCTATGGGTCACTTGCAGTGCTGCATCCTAACCCATTGCACCACCAGGGAGGGTCTGAAAATTCCTTCCTTTTTTAAGATTCTTTTTTAAAAATAATATTTTTATTTATTTACTTATTTACTTTTTTTATGTATACAAAACTGGGTTATAGGCCAGAGGTGCGGGAGGTGAGAAGATTCACCAGAGACAGAGTGGGAGAGCACAACAGTTAGATCTATTGAATACACTGCTGAGGGGAGCAGCGGGCAGCTCTGCTGTACCATATGGGTCACCTCCCTGGCCGGGGATTGAACTCACACTTCAGTAACTGTGGAGAGCTTCATAGTGTTGCGCTTAAATCCCTTGTGCCACCAGGGAAGGCCCCAAGACTCTTTCTGATGGGCACTTTTTCTAGAAGAGTCTCTGGCAACTTCCAGAAGGCTGGAGACCAGCTTGGCTAGGCTGGGATGTGAATCTTGTTCACTCTTTTCTACTGCAAATTTGGAGACAGAGTCCTAGGGGGATGGCTCTGGTAAGGGAGGAAGAGACTGAGAATGAGGCTGTCTGTCTCAATGCCGCAGATGAAGGAGTGGGGATCCTGGTCGTGGTGACTCTCAACAACCAGCTCTTGCTGTGTGTCCTCTCCCAGTTGAAGACTATTTCCAGGGCCCTGTGGCTAACCCCTCCCACCATGGGTGCTCGCATCATCACCTCCATCCTCAGTAACCCTGCCCTGCAGGGAGAATGGTAACAGTGAACGGTAGGGGCAAAAGGGATGGGCAGGGCCCCTGGATACCACAGATTAGCTGATTCATGGAATTTGGCCAGGTGCCTCTCATGTTGCCCCTTTACTCCATGGATTCACCAATTCATTCATGATTATGTACTGAGGGCTCACTGTATACTCAGTTTCAAGAATAGCAGCCATGCCAAGGATTGCTCTGCTTGGGGGATTAGGTCATAGAACATTCTTTTTTGGACACAGGACAGTGAATTATTTGAATTCTATAAAGCAGGAGAGTGGCAGCACTAAGAGCATGCTACCCTGGCAAAATATGCCTCAGAGTTTACTTGACTTGCTTAAATTAATATAGACTGAAATCCCTCCCCCGTTCACAACCATCCCAGGTCCCGAGGTCTACTGATGTGCCTGCATCAGTACTTTGGAAGGGAAATGAAGTGGAATGGTAACAAGGAGGATGACCTGGGAGGATCTCTTACTCTGATTTCTTATTGTTCTTCCTTGACAGGAAGCAGAGTCTAAAAGGGGTTGTGGAGAATATCATGCTGATCAAGGAAAAGGTGAAGGAGAAGCTCCGACTCCTAGGGACCCCTGGCTCCTGGGAGCACATCACTAGCCAGACTGGGACACACAGTTATCTTGGGCTCAACTGTAAGTGTCTAGGTGTGTCTCCCCTTTCTGACTCTGGGCTTATATTTGAGCATTAAACTTTACCAACTAGGTGACCAGTCTCTAGCTTCACACAGCTTTTGATTCTTTCTGGAGAAAAGTGGAACTGCTTTAAAGACTTTCTGGACTCACCCAAAATGCAGATACTCTTTACCCTCCATCATTCATGCTGGGTTCAAGGGAAGTTAGAGGTGGGTAGTTCAGGATCTGAGACCCTGATATCATCAGTCCAGCAGCTGGAGTACCTGGTCAAGAAGAAGCATATCTACATCCCAAAGAGTGGTCGGATTAACTTCACCTGTATCAATGCCAGCAACATAGATTACATCACTGAGAGCATCAATGAAGCTATTCTCTATACCAAAGAAGTAAATGATTTTTGACTGGAGTAAAAGCTTTAATCTTTGCAAAAATCCTGTGCTGATTATTCATTGCTACAACTCATTTTTCTGCAGAGTACTTTCTCTCTCCATATATTTGTCAAGCATTGGTCTGGCCTCAGCAAAGAGAGGGGAAAAAATGCCCACAGAAGAAAGGAATGACATTGATGATCTAATTTCTACTGAGCACACAATATATAAAGGTCTTGTTGTGGTGTCTTTGACTGTTTGACCTGCTATCACAAGACACAATAGACTCGGTGACTTTTAAACAACAGAAAGTTCTTTCTCACAGTTCTGAAGCCTGGCACAAATAGATCTGGTATTCAGTGAGATCCTACCTCCTGGCTCATAAGCAGCACCTTCAAGATATAACCTTGTGTGGAAAAAGGAGTGAGGGAGATTTTTGAGGCTTTCATACAAAAACAGTGATCCATTCATCAAAAATCTGTATTCATGACCCATCCACATCTGAATACCATCACATAGGGGAGGAAATTTCAACATACTAGATTTTATTTATTTTTGCATAGAAGTGGGGTACAAGGCAGAGGTGAGAGGATTCACCAGAGACAGAGTTGGGTGCAGAACAGGCAGATTAACTGAAATCCACTGCTGAGGGGAGCAGTGGGTAAGACAGGAGAGGTCTGCTGTGCCATGTGGGTCAGTTTCCTGACTGGGGATTGGACTGAGGCCATAGTGGTTAGAAGACAAGTCTTAATCATATAAAATAGTTAAGCAACATTTCAAAGTTGAATGTAAGAAAAATTTCACTAGATTAGGAATTTAGAAACCTTCATGTGAGCCAGAGTAGTTGGGGAAGCTCTCATGAAAAGGTAGGACTTGGTTTGGATATTACTAGATGGCTAGAACTGGGATAACATCTAAAAGGAATATCCCAGGCCAGGGAACAACCTGAACAAGGGTAGTTGGCATGATAATAAAAAATTAATATCTATTAAAGTGTTCTCTAATACATGGAACTCTGTAAATCCTCAGGATGCTAAAAGGTGTAAGCCACAATTCCTGCTTTTATGTTTATGTACATCCAAATTGTGGAGATAATTTTACATGGTAAAATAACAATAAAAGGTGACATGTAGCTAGTGCTAGATGAGTGTCTCAATAAAAGGTTAACTCACCAGGACTTGGTTGCCTTCCAAGAGTCTACAGGATTGCCCTTGACCAGTTCCTGGGAAATGACCTTTGAGCCTGTGGAGTATTCCACAAAATAAGGGTGACTTTGAATGCCTGAGATCTTTGGACAAGCTATATTAGTTTAACTTAATTAAGGTCAGTTATATAGAGACTGTGTGCATAGGTGACTGACCCCGGCAAAAAGTTTGGATATCAAAGTTGGTAATCCTGGTTGGCAACACTTAACACATGTGTCACACACTGATACTGAGAAAATTAAAATCTGCGCAACTACGTGGGGAGCTTGTGCTTGGTTTCCCCTGAACCCCATCTTTTTTCTTTAGGTTTCAATCCATATCCTTTCACAGCAATAAATTGTAACCATGAGTTCACAGTTTATCTAGATTTTATGAGTCCTTCTATGAATCATTGAACATTGGAGACTCTAGTAACCCTTAATTAGGTGAAGAGTTTAGGTGAGTTTAAGAGAAGAATTTAAGCAAATTCATTTTTGTTTCCTTACATTTCCTGAAGATTGTCCCGACAGGGAAATCAGTTTCAGAGGACTGGAATTCAGATTCCAAAACCTGGCCACCAAGCTAATGGGCTCCTGCCTACAAAATATCTTTCCCATAGATTGTAATTACTCTTACAATTATAATTACAAATGTCTGCTTCTGTTTAGAGGCTCCATAGTGAGGTGGATTGCAAACAAGTTAATGGAGCAAAAGCAATACTCTCTTTAGTTTTCTGTTGTTTAAAGATGGATTTGTCTTGGGTCTCTGTGTTTATCTTTAGATGTTGGTTCTTCTCTAAATCTACATTGTCTCCAGTGTTAAGGGTTTCTACTCTCAATATCAGAAGAATTCTGGAGAATCCACAGTTCCTACAGGTGGCAGATTTTAACTATTCTCAAATGTGCATTAACATGAGAATAAAATTTAGTCAGATTCTTCTCTACCCCCTGTGCCTAAGGAAACAATACAAATGATGTTTGGGTTATGCAGGTTAGAAAGCAATGGACTGCAGAAATAGAACTGCCTCTGACCTTCCCTACAAGTGGTTCACCCTGGTGCTTTCAACCCAGGATTCAGGCAGAAATTGAGGAAAAGAATGCTGTCCTCTTATTCTTTGTTTCTAGTTGGAAAAATGGACTCCGTTTTTCATTTCTCATCACTGTACATGGAAGTCTTCCTTGAAATTATTTTTTTCCTAAATATCTCTTAAGTTAATTTCAGATACCTGATTATTCTAGGTTTAAGTATTCATGCATTTAATCTTTTTATTCTGAACTATTTTCATGGCACAGTTGGAAAAATGATATAATGATCTCCTTTACTCTCCCCTCCCAGCTTCAATAAAATTGTCAGGGTCAAATCTTGTTTCTCATTATATCTCCATGCATAACTCCAAATTATTATGGGGCAAGTCACATTCTTTCATATATAAATGTTTTAGCATGCATTATTAAAATTCAGGGGTTTTCCTGTTTAAAAATAATCACAATATCATCATCATCACATATCTCCAAGTCAACAAATAACGGCATCATAGAGCCAATAACTTATGTTCACACATGTAAAATCATTTATCTACAGTTCTGATTGTCCTATAATTTTTTTTTTAAAGATTTATTTATTTATTCATACAGAACTGGGATACAGGCCAGAGGCTCAGGGGCGGTGAGAGGCTTCACCAGAGACAGAGTGGGGAGCAGAACAGGCAGATGGATGAAGTACACTGCTGAGGGAAGCAGCGGGCGGGTCAGGAGAGGTCTGGCTCGCCATGTGGTCTCCTCCCGGGCAGGTGGGAATCGAACTCATGCGGAAGCGGCTTCAGCTTCTCAGTGCTGTGCTTTAACCCGCTGCGCCACCAGGGAGGGCCATAATTGTTCTTTTTTTTTTTTTTAATAATTAAGTATATACTGTCACTGGCTATTGAGAAATTTTCTTGACACTACTCTCATCAAAAGGTAGAATATAATTTTCTGCTATGGCAGAATTTCTAATAAATAAGCATTATTAATAAAAGAGTTATGTAACTCAGTCAGGGGGTGGTACAACCTCTACTATCTACTCTTCCTTCTGTCTCGTGTGTGTGTGTGTGTGTGTGTGTGTGTATGTGTGTCTGTTGGCAAGGGGCACAGAAGAGGAAGTATTCCAAAGTGTACTGATCAACACCCAGAGGGAGACCTGCTGTTATCGGGGATCTTGTGGTCTTCAGGTGAACCTACATCTGCAGGTGCTTGGCTGAGCAAAGGCAAGGGCATAGATTCTGGAACTCCGCTAGGGCAGAGACTGAGGGAGCTTCGCTAAGGTCCTGCTAAGGGTCTCTCATCATTGGGTTGTGTAGCCCATCCACCAGCCAGCCACGTAGGTGGGAGGGAGCTCAGCGGTTTGAGGAAGATGTTCCTTATCTAAGTATTGTGACTGGGCTCCCGCCCGAGAGCATAGGGAGTGAACCCCCAGGAAGGCCCACAGCTGACCTGCTGGGCCAGCTGGGATAGAGGAGTGAAAGAGGGTGGAGGGTGGTGGATGTTGGCGGGGTAGGAGAGAGCGAGAGGAGTGTTACTGGACTGAGGTATGGACTCAGAACGGCTCTTGAACGCCCCCAGCAGGCTTTCGCCTGTGTTTATGGTTTCCATCCAGTTCTCTTGACCTTCCTGGCCACCTAAATCTGTGCTTGTTCCTCTCTCTACGACACTGAATGGTGAACTCACTCTGATTTAAAATTTAAGCACCGTTCTCTCGTTTGCTCCCCAAACTCCAGTCACACAAAAGTCCTGTCTCAGGGCCTTTGCACATGCTCACATGCTGTCTCTTTACCATAAGGTTTTCTGGGTTTTGTTTTGTTTTGTTTTTTTGGCAAGGTCAATTTTTACCAGGCTCTCAATTCACCTCAGTGAGGTTTTTACCTGACCCTCCTACAAAGTAAGTGCCCATCTTTCTGGGAAACACACATCTCCACTCTTTTTTGTTTCCTTTTGCCACAATTTGTATTAAAAAAAAATTCTCTGACGTTGCCAGTAAAATATAAAATCGGGCAGAAAACACATTTATCTTGTTAAGGTTGTGACGAGATAAGATGAAAAATAATTTCAGTGTTTGGCCTAAGAATGTCAGTATATTTAGCAATTCTTCACTGTGTGCTTAAAAATGTAAAATTTATATTATATATGTGTTTGACTACAATTTTTAAAAAAGTCACGAGGCAGCACGTCCTCCATAAGAGGTCTAGTCTACCAGAACTGAGTTGTTAACCACCCCTTACTACCAGGAAGTACAGAAACTCAAAGAAAGCACTTGGGCTCATTTGTTTTACTGATGGGAATTGATAAAGTCGGGATTGGTGATGTGGTGCTATGGTGGGATTAGCACAACTAGGGGGAATTGGTATATTTTGATGGAGGAGAGGTTGGAGAGTAGGCTGGGGTCACTGGGGAGGGTGTCAAAATTCCCCTGCTTTTTCTGGGTTTCCTGACCTTTCTGACGGCAGGGGGTGCTATGTAACAAGCTTAAGACCCCAGAAAAAACCTGAACTTTTTTTTTTCTTTAAAGATTTAGTTATTCATACAAGAACTGGTATACAGGCCAGAGGTGTGGGGCTTGAGAGGATTCACCAGAGACAAAGTGGGAAACAGAACAGATGGATTGACTGAGGCATACTGCTGAAGAGAGCAGCTGGGGAGGCTGGTCTTTGGGCACCATGTGGGTCAGCTCCGTAGTTAGGGATCAAACCTCATGTTGCAGTGGCTGTGGAGAGCTTCATAGTGTTGCACTTTAACCCTTTGTGCCACCAGGGAGGGCCTGAAACCTGAACTTTTAACTTGAGAAGCTGGACATCTCTATCCTGGTAATGTTCTCCAA